GGTTTGTGCATAGTGTATCGGACTTCTCTGTCCGCGTCGTATTGGGACAGAGTTCAGTGTTCACACTGAGCCATCGAAGTGGGATCCACCGGTATTCAAAGTATAGTACTCCGTAAATTGATTCTCAAGTGTTTACTTCCAGGATGATTTATGAATACAGTTGCACTGTCAGCCGCCTGTCTATACAAAGAACGAGCGCAATTCCCGTAAGTTGTCCTTGACGTGTCACTTTGCAAACAGGCCATAGAGCCGCATCATGAGACTACAAAACAATCGATTTCTTGCTTTCAGGGAAGCAGTTGACCAATACGGAAAAATTTTGGCTTGTCTGAAAACAATTGCAGTTTCTTTGATATTTTGTACCCGACAAAAAAGGTAATCTATTTCACTACTCACAAGTAACTGAGTTAGATGCGAATAATCGATCGAGCCAAGTAGGTTTGTGGCAAGTCGTCCCGTAACCTTCAGGGAGGTCCTGTCTTGGGAGGCTTTCGGTTGAAGTTACCAGATTTTCATCTGTGTTCCCCTACGTTGCCCTCGGCCGAATGAACTGACTGACTGTCACTGAAGAAGGCGCATGAACAAACATCAGTTGGCTATTCGGTACAGCCATGGTATGAGCTGCCTAGCACAGTTAAGACGCATGCCTTCCATGTGATGGATCTGGAGTTCGAATCCCGGACGAGACGGTGGATATGCATTACTGATGCGGTCTAACAAGAGCGTAATTCGACCCTAGTGCTTCTGAGTGTATAGTTGAATCGCTGAACTGAGGATTGTGCCCGAAAGTGAAATCAGAATGATAGTCAGTTCAAATCAATATCAATTATCCCGCACTACTACCCACAAGTAACTGAAATCAACATGCATAATCTCCTTCAGTGGTTTCTTAGTTGACGAAACTACACTGTTAAGATGCGTTCTCAATCTCTCCAAGAAAGTCAACGCTTTTCGAGCTGTGCAATATTATTGATTGTTTTCGCACCTCAGCACCTCTGTGATTAAGAATAAAAATGTATTCTAGAGCCGTGAATGCTGTCATCGCCTAAAACCGCAATTCTGTGACGCAACTGTTGTTGCCGTGGTAGTGATGATGTTAGATTTGATACCATCTTTCCATAGCATGGCAAAACCTTCCTTCCCCCTCCTTCCATCACATTCACCACATCGTTCGGACCAGTTCACTCTCATATCAAATTTTACCATCCAACTTGACCTCAGCCACAAATCACGCAACTCACTTGTCCACCACCTTGTTCAAATGACTCATTTCAACTCTTGTTTCTTCATTTTACGCTATCGGTTTTGTTTTCATTGCTTCGGATCCATTCGAATGTACTCTAAATGACAGTTTTATCAGACTTGGCTCAGTAACTGCGATGTTCCCCGATGAACCGTGTGTAAAAGAATTGAACAGCAGCATCAAAACAGTTTGGTGACACCACTGCCTGTTTCCAATGGACTGACCGATGGTTAGCTACACTGAGTGATATGGCTGGGTGTCGCAAACAGTGGCGCTCGTGCATCCACTCGTTATTTTCCTAACACCACTCTATGTGTATTCCCCATCTTCCACTTGAATTTGCTTCGACATTCCAATCTTCATTTTGCTCTTTTATCCAAATGGGCAACCAAAGACAGCAACCAAAACCGACGCACGAAAGTGCATGGTTAATGGTTGTAAAAACTGAACTGAACTGAACCAGTGAGCTAGTGCTGGCCACGAATCTGTCGGCTAAAAGTACTTGTGAGTATATTGACTTGAATAGATTCTAATACTTCATTTTGGCAGGTTGCTACCCAAAAGGACTTCACTTCACTTCCACCGAGTCACAATTCGTTTTAGTCTAAGAAGACTGCGATCGATAATCGACGTTGTGCGTAACATAACTTGATCACCTAATGCAGAACGTAGAGACGATCGGAACAATCGAGAGCTGACCGGAATCTGGTTTTGTGGCCTGGTAGCTAAGTATTACACAATCCTTCACTTTTTGGATGGTGCTCCTAGCTT